ACCGACACGTTACTGGAGAGTAACTCTTCTTTGTGGGAGGAGACAAGTCAACGACGCACCACGCGTGTTTGATCTCCTACACGAGAATCTTCATTACATGGAAAATTGAAGATGCTCGCGTAGATCTTCGCGATAAGGCAATACCGTGACACTTTAATTAATATTCTTAAATAGTGATTTTATGAAAAAAAAAAAATACAAATTTGTTTTACATATTATAAAAAATCGAATTACTATTATCGTTCCTGCTGAATCTGTCATTGAATTCGATAAACTATTAACTTTCTCCACCGAGTGATACATCGCTGTTTATCTTTGTCTATCTTGTCTAAACATTGAACAATTATGTGCGCGCGTGCGTGTCATTACATATTATATAATATGCCATTATATTATCATTGCACATAGATTGTATCGAACTTTCTAATGCGTCTATGTGATCAGCAGGCCTCGCGTATCGAGTTATATCATACGCGTATGTAATCGGAGACTGCACGTGGTTATGTTATAATGAAATACACCCCGCCTCGTATAATTACGAACGTTTGCAACTAATAATACATTGTACAAGCGCCACAGGCTAAGTTACCGATTAATACCCGGGAGTCGTTATCGTCAAATTAGCCAATCGGCACTTTGGTTCGCAACATTGATGAAGGATAACGTTTCCAATAGACTTCGCCCTCTCTATACCTCACCTTTCGTTATTTATTAATTTTCGCCGCAAATTGCCTTCACCAATTTTAAAGGTGAAGAATTAATTTCTAAAAAAAAGAGAAGAAAAGAACTTACACGTTCGAAACTATTTGTGTGTTACCGATGAAAATTAAGAAGAGGTTAAATCACAAAAAAAATTGAAAGAAATAAGTAGTAAAAATTATAGGCAGATCGATCTTCCAATAAGACTAGATATTGCAAAATTCTTGAGAAAAAAAGAAATTTTTCAATTTTTTAATTTTACACGCGAAATAATACAATATTTGAGAAGAATTAGAAATATATTATAATAATCAAGTAAATTAAAAATGACGTATAAAAAAAAAATATATTTTATTTTTAAAGTA